TGCAAGCTGCAGGCGAACTTTGACCTTCTGAAGCCTGGCGCCGTTGCTGGCAGAGAGAATATTAAAACGCAACCAAAAATTAAAAATGAACAAAACAAAAATCATATTGGGGGAAAAAAAAGAGAGCTGTTATTGCTAGTAATCTAATTTGCTGAACCCTTGCTCTGACTAAGTTGCTGAGAAGCTCAGTAATTCTTCATCATGTTACAATAAATCATTTTACTTTCTTTTATATATCAGCTACTCTTAGGCCAGATAGCCTGAGCAGACAGACATGATGTGAGTTGTCCAAAGTGAGTCATTCCACCTGCTGTCTTCCGTGTTGTTGGATGGTGCTTGTGGGCTTCAATCCCTGTTAGTGTGAGAGGTGGCTGTCTGTGCTTAACATGAAATCTATGTACTTGTCCATTTTTTTCCATTCTTTTCTTTACTCCATCTTCAGATAAATAAATAAAAACCACACACACGAGAGGAAATGTTAGAAATGCTATATATTAAAATAGTTGCTTGCCAGTTACGTGGGTTTATTGTTACACATTTGCCTTCTGTTTCGTATGTGACCTGATTCCTTTTTTTCTTTTTTTTTTAATTTAGTGTTGTTTAGGACAAATTATGTTGCGTTCATCCCCCCCCCCCGAATCATGGTGTTCCACTAAAAATATAAACGTTGATGAATGAATTGCTTTGCATTACGTATGCAAGCGCATGGAGTGACCATTCTTTTCCCCGAGGGAAGAGCCATACAACTGGGTGCTAAATTGTTGCATTTCAACCTTTTCCATTTGTTTTCAAATTCCTAAATTCAAAGTATCATTGACGCTCCAGGGAAAAGCAGTATTACTCTGTAAAATTCTCTCTCTCTTCTATAAGGTGCGTAACTCCTTACACTTTTGGGGAAGTCCCGTCCCCCTCACGTTCCTCGAGTCTTACTTTCAAGTACAACTTTGTCCTGAACCACATTAAAGACCTTTATAGAATAAGAACGTTGGGCTCTGGTGTCGGCAATAACCCGAAGATGTCCCTTTTCTGTTTCAGGACATTCACTGAACAATGCCAGGGATACAAGTGCCATGGATACTCTACCGCTAAATGGTAATTTCAACAACAGCTACTCTTTACGCAACGGAGACTACAACGACAGCGTGCAAGTTGTAGACTGTGGGCTAAGCCTGAATGACACCGCCTTTGAGAAAATGATCATTTCGGAATTAGTACACAACAACCTGCGGGGCAGCAGCAAGAACCACAACCTCGAGCGCACATTGCCAATCAAAGCTGTGATCGGCGGGAGCAGTAGCGAAGACGACGCCATTGTAGCAGATGCTTCGTCTCTGATGCACAGTGATAACGCCGGCCTGGAGCTGCACCAAAAGGAACTCGAGGCGCCTCTGATTCCCCAACGGACTCACTCCCTTCTGTACCAGCCACAGAAGAAAGTGAAGACGGAAGGAACAGACAGCTACGTGTCCCAGCTGACGGCCGAAGTTGAAGACCACCTCCAGTCCCCCAACAGAGACTCTCTGTACACAAGCATGCCCAACCTCAGAGACTCTCCTTACCCGGAGAGCAGTCCCGACATCGAGGAAGACCTCTCTCCCTCCAGGAGGAGTGAGAATGAGGACATTTACTACAAGAGCATGCCAAACCTTGGAGCTGGCCATCAGCTTCAGATGTACTATCAAATCAGCAGGGGCAATAGTGACGGCTATATAATTCCCATTAACAAGGAAGGATGTATTCCGGAAGGGGACGTTAGGGAAGGACAAATGCAGCTAGTGACAAGCCTTTAATAGTGTAGCAAAGGAATACTGAAGGCCACATTGCAAGTATTAAACAGACTTAATTGGCCCCATGTAGGCTCCCTCATATCTGCTCGAAGCGACAATTTCTCTTGTCCCTGTAGTTTCTCCCGTGTAAAGGAGACGACTGGACCTTGCAGTTCTGTGAATTTTTATAAAACAAAGCTTTGTATATACACAGAGTATACTAAAAGAATTATTTGTTACAAACAGAAAAAAAAGAGATACCATCAAGGTATTTTAAGATATCTTGCTGCTGACGTAAAAGAGATTGTGAAATACACACACACACACACACACACACACAACGTTCCAGCCATTTTACTGCAGCAGTTTGTGAACTAAATTTGTAAATATGGCTGCATCATTTTTTGTAGGCCTGCATTGTATTATATACAAGACGTAGGCGCTAAAATCCTGTGGGACAAATTTACTGTACCTTACTATTCCTGACAAGACTTGCAAAAAGCAGGAGAGAGATTCTGCATCAGTTTGCGGTTCACTGCAAATCTTTTCCATAAAGGTAAAAGATTGAAAACCTGTCTAACCACTAGCAATCAAGCCACAGGCCTTATTTCATATATTTCCTCAACTGTACAATGAACTGTTCTCATGAAAAAAAAATGGCTAAAGAAATTATATTTTGTTCTATTGCTAGGGTTAAATAAATAAATAAATACATTTGTGTCCAAACAGAAATATAATTGTCATTAAAATAATTTTAAAGAGTTTGAAGAAAATATTGTGAAAACGCTCTTGGTTGCACATATGCTACAAGCTGTCCGTCCCGCCCCCCCGGCCCCCTTTTACACTTGGTTCATAGTAGCGTAATATGTTTAAAAAGTTCTATCCATTTTCACTTCTTTTTCACTGTAAACAGTGCTCTGCTTTGACGTTAGTATTTCTTCTTATGTTTTAAATTTCTTATTGCCAAAAGAACATATATTTTTTTCCAGGCAGAATTCTTTTAGACGCCAATTAATTTCATGCCTTGCACACTATGAAATTTGGGTTGTTGTTGTGTTTTTTAAAAAAGAAAAATCTATATCAGGTTATAAATCGCTTCCTGTTTCATTCTTTTAACTTTGAGGAAGGCTGAAAGGAAGGGAAGTGGCCAAAGGGACAGACATACTAGTGAATCTCAAACAAACTAATGAATTAAAGGTGCCTGACCTTTTTAAGCTAAGAGAAAACATAAATACTCTTCCATATTCCTCCTGCCTATATTTAGTAATTAATTTATTTTATGATAAAAGATCTAATTAAATGTACGTTGTTTCAGGGTTTTTTTTGCTTTTTTTCCAATCCCTTTGTGTAAACCTGTTAATAATGAGCCCATCACTAATATCCAATGTAAAGTTTAACACCTGTTTGACAGTAAATAAATGTGAATTTTTTTTCCAAATAGGTAAAACGCTCTTTCTTACATATGAGTCATAAGCTCGATTATTCACCGTGTGAGCTGGCTAAATTCAGCTTAGCATCACTCCCTTACAGTTCTCAATTTATATGGAGAGGTCTGGTGTAGGAGCTGCCTATATATCTCTATTGAATAGAGGTCATTGCTGCTACTTGATATTCTAGTCATAGTCACATATGATCAAGATCAGAAACATGAGCTCTGTTACAAAAGTGTTCGGCAGCCTCCTCCATTTACATAACAGATTTTTAAAAAATTCAAATAGAAATATGATTTATTAAAAATAAAAAAGGATGCAAACTCTGCAGTCATATTTCAGGCAACTGTAATTATATGGCTATAATTAGTGATAAAGATAAGCTCTTGTCGCAGGGAGAGAAAAAATACTAATATTGCAGCTTTTATAGGAGTGCCGTGAATATTCAGGGCCTAGCAAAATATGGTAAATCACAGCAGTCTTTTGTGATATGCAAATTAGCGTTTCTGTTATTACTACTATTAGCAGATGGGGAATCGAGGCAGGAAGCTGATACTTTGCCCAAAGCTTTATAGCATGAAGCGGGATTTAATTTCCGACACACTACTTTGGAACTGTCTGTTCATTCCTTTTCACTAAATTGCCCATCGATTACTCGAGATTCCGGGTTCTCATTTGCAAAAGCTTGGATTTAGATATTATACTGATTTTTTGCTAAATTGTTGCATTCTTCCCTCCCTGCTCACCACTTTTGTTGTTGCAACCCCGACTGTTAGAAAAATCAAATTCACACAGGTACTTTTATATATTCATTTTGCCAGCATTTTCCTTAATTACAGCTATTTGGTAGAATCCACCAGGAAGTTCTGCAGAAGCGCCGTTGGCTTGCGTTCCTCAACTTCCCAATGGCCTTTACATATTGATTAATGGGATTTCATCAAAAGCTTTTGTGATTTATAGCTGCTATGCATGCCTAAGGAAGGACCAGCAAATGCACATTGAGTTTTATCATAAGTTAGGGGTTCCCCCATGATTGCTTCAGATCAGAATGACTTCCTAAGCTCACCTGGCCTTAATTTTTTTGCAAGGAAAGCACCCTCCTTGATCCTTACGTCTGTGTGCACTTCATAGTCAAAGTACTTGGTGGCTATATGGGGTAAACCATGGGTAGGCAAACTAATGCCCGGGGGCCAGATCCGGCCCAATCGCCTTCTAAATCCGGCACGCGGACAGTCAGCGTGTTTTTACATGAATAGAATGTGTCCTTTTATTTAAAATGCATCTCTGAGTTATTTGTGGGGCATAGGAATTAGTTCATTTCCCCCCCTTTCAAAATATAGTCCAGCCCCCCCACAAGGTCTGAGGGACAGTGGACCGGCCCCCTGCTGAAAAAGTTTGCTGACCCCTGGGGTACACCATAAATTAATATGGGTCATAAGCTAGAATTACGACACAGCTGTCATCTGTGCTTAAGGGCCTGGGAATCATTAGTATCCAAAGCATCTTATATGAACATCTTTGTTGGGAGGACAACCAGTTGTCCAAGTCTTTCTTCATTATGATAAAGTCTTTCTGTAGATGCAACCTATGGCTATTAAGTTTTGCCATATTGTGGTATGTGGGGAATGCAATTGGTAGCACATTGTTTGAGCGTTAGCGCAGAATGTTAGAGGCACATGATGCAGTTAGCAGATCTGGTCCTGTGAACTGACCAGAATGAATTCCCATAAGCCATGTGTTGCAAGGTGCCCTGAGCTCTTTGCGGGTAACAACAAAGTCCAGCTAATAAATAAAGTGTACTTACCTCATATACAACTGGTTTCCATGAGCCTACAAAAGAGAGAAAAAAGACCGTTCATTCAAATCTTCACGGCTGCTGTACCAGTCAATACCAACTGACAACGAAAGAACTATGTAAAGGAAGTGAGCAGATAAAGGCTTGAGAATTATACAATTCTTTTGTTAGCTGTTTCTTATTACGACAATTGCTATTAATTATGTAGAGAAATTATCAATATATAATGCTAAACAAGATTGAGTTAAACATCCGTGCTAGAAGCTAGATGAACAAAAAAGAACAGAAAAGGAAGAGTGGAAAAGACAGATGGAAACAGATAAGACCAAACAGAATTTACAGGCATATTTAATTCATAAGAGTTGCGTTCGTTTGGTGATCACTTATTTAATGCTCTATTATTCATTGATTGTTTAGGATGCTAACTAACTGAATAGTTTCTCTCTTTTTGCCGCCTTTGTTATAAAGAAATCTGCAGTTAGTGTGATGTGCTTAAAATAACACAACATTCTTATTGTTTTTTAATTACACAAACCACCATGGATAAATAGTGCGAGAAAATGGCTCTGCTATAGTTTTTGCAGAATTTATTTATTGCCATGGGGCTGGGATGAGTACAAGGAAATTCGGAACTAAACAAAACGCTCAACTAAAATTCAGAAAATGGTAAGGAAATGATATATTGCTTTGCTTGGTGTGTGTGGGTGTGTGGTTTTTAAAAACCTAGCATTCAGCGCTTACAAGAGCGCTGCAACAAAGAGGGAGTATGCATCCACAAGGAATCATTGTAGTTAAAGGACGAGGACGTCCAGCTACTCCTTGCTAATGACTTTGACATTAGTTCGAGATCTTGTTTGTAATCTATGAAATGTATTTGTCACCTTTTAAAGAAAAGAAAAAAGCATCCATGGAATGGAACCTTATTCTGAAGGCAAAACTCTTAAAAGCCACAGCGTATCTCGAATTGGGGGAATCTTAACCAGGATCATTTAACTTAGTGGGAAGACAAGGAAAACTAAGTTATGTAGCAACATTGCATAAAAACAAACAATAAATGCAGCATGGAGGCAGGAAGACTATAGCTGGTTGTCATCTCAAGAATCGGAAGGGTGGAAATGAACCACACTGTAGCTGGAGTCACATGGCAGTTTATTTCCTTTTCATAACTTTTCCCTAACTTAAGTTCCACATTATATTTGAGCTTTCAGATGATGTGCTCACTTCCACGTTACTTGCTTCTTGTGGGGGGGTGTTTGCAAATAGTATGAAAATGAGTGCTACGCTTGCAATATATTCCACATTAGTTCCCAAAATGCCTTTCACTGTGTGTGAAGGCTCAAATACAACATGAAAATTAAGAGTTAGGGAAGCATTGTGAAAATGGAATAAACTTCCATCTGACTACAGCTTGTGTCCTCTCTGAGCTCCTTGCCTGCCTCACCGTGACTGCCATTGCTTGGTTGGGGAACAGTATTTCACAGGCTTTGTTTATGCCTCTTGCTTGCACCCACACAAGGCGGCAGGCAAACACAACTCAGTGCTCCCCCAGTAATTTCCACCGCCCAGGCTTTGCCAAGCCAGTAATGGGCCCTTTCTCTTCAGTGCAGGCTGGCCATGGATATAGAAGGCTGTTCGGTACCAAGAAAAAATATTGCGCGGCACTTCACCTTTCCCTACCTCAAGTCTGTGTAAGATTAAATGAGCTATGAATTGTAAGGTACTTTTATGCTATAGTGTGTCGTAGAACTTTCAAATGTTTTGTTTTTAAAGGTATTTTATGCATGCCAAAGTATGCCAACATCCCTTTTGACTGTATTACATCTCTGCTTCATTTCAAACACTGACCCTAACAACCATTATGGACAGGCCACTATCCCAATGGAACAATGGGCTAATATTGAAAGATCTGAACATCTACTTTTTCTCCTTGGCTTAATTGCCTGAAGGAGGTTTTTGTTGATTGGGTTTCTGTTAAACTGCAGTAACTCTGGATTGGCTGCTCATCTCATTAGCTGCTGGTTTTGTTCTTTTACCTGTGATTATATTCAGGTCTTTAATTGGAAGACACCGTAAGGAAGTTTACTCCTAAAAGATGGCACATTAATATTTTAATAAACGGGCAATAACAGAGGAGCTGCCATAGACCAGGATAGAATCATTCTCCATCTACCTTGATATTATCTACTCTGACTGGCAGCAGCTATCTAGGGCGGCCTTCTCCAACTTTGTTTCCTCCAGATTTTCTGGATTCCCAAACCCCATCCACCCCTGCATGGTCAGTGGTAAGGAATGATGGACGTTATCAGATATATCAGGAGGGCACCAGCTTGGGAAAGGCTTTACTAGGGTTGCAGGTATGGTTTGCCTCTCTCACCCGCTACCTGAGAACTCTCCTTAAACTGAGAACTCCAGCTATTAAACCAGGTATTTTTCTGTCTACCATTGAGCGAAAAAGCCTGTTCAAAAGCCCGCTGTGCAAAAGTATTCGTTTTACTACAGGCATAATTCTACCTGCTTTGGAGAAACAGAAAGATCTGACCTTGACCTCATGGAAACCCTGAGAAAGATGTCTTTGTTTGCTTAAAAAAATTGCCTTTTAATGCGGCTTTAGTGGCTACATTAGTGACACACAGATTGCTTTCAGTGTGCTATGCAAGATTGCTTGCCATTTATTTGGAATAGCATTCTTCATCCATTTCTATTTTCATAGTGTTAAAAGCCTGCACCTTGTGTGGCAATCGGTCATTAGCGATTTTTGAATGAAACTTTACAAGACACGTCTTGCAGGAATTCTATAGACAGTCCTAGCTGTAAGCTTTCTTAATGGAGTCGAACACTTCATTCCCCACCTGCACAGTGGAGGTAACATCTGTTTATAACCTCGACTTGGCGGATGATTATTGCACTTTTACACCCGGATGCAAACTGGAGAAAGCAGTTGCCAAGGAGGCAGAAGCCTATTTCGACCCATTCTAGTAAATGTTGTGAGAATGGCAGGCAGCAGTATGGGCACCCCAAACAACACAAGCAGTGGTGGTGGTTTGTCCCCATTGGGACTGGTAGGGTGGAAGGCAGGGAGGCCAAGAGGCAAAGCCAATGATCAGCAGAGCCAGAAGCCCATAACGGGGGAACCAACTAATTTAACCCCATCTGCCTCCCTCTACAAGGACAAAACTCAGACTGGGGAGGTGGAAGGGGCACCCCTTGGGCTGGCTGTAAGCAAAAAGACAGGCATGGGGGGAGTCTGGCTGAGTGCAGACTGAGATTATCCACATTCGCACCATATATCTAAAGAAACAGCCATGATCTCTCCAAACGATTTGGGGAGCTGTAGTTTGTTAAGGATGCTGGTAAGTCTTAGAAAACTCCTATTCCCACCGCAGAGCTACAATTCCCAGAGTCCTCTGGGAAGGGGCATTGGTGGTTAAATCACTTTGGGAACTGCGAGTTCTGAGAGGGGAACGGGGGTCTTTTAGCAACTCATAGCACCCTTAACAATTTTGAGAAGTAATTATTTGGGGGAAGCCATTCCTATTTAAAGTGGTATGCTGCTGCTTTAAATGTACAGTGCTTAAGGGCCCACAGCACTGGAAGGAATGTCAGAGGACTCTAGACCCTGCTGATGCAGCAATGCCACTACTACAGCATCCTTGAAAAGTGGCAATCCAATCTCTGCTGGTTTCAAGTGGTATCCAGGGACGCGGACTTATAAAAAATATTGGGGGGGCCCGGGAAAGCTCATGAATAATAAATAAGCTCATGAATATGCAAATAAAGTGGCGCCGCCTCCTCGTGAGCGAATAGGGGAGAGCGTGCTGCGCCTATTAATCAGCTCCAAAGGAAATTGGGTGGAGCTTTTGCTCGGGAGGGAGGGCAGGAGGCATGCAGCCCGCCCCTCCCTGTGCATTTTGGGCTGGGGGAGGGGCGGCGATGGCGCTCTGCTGGAGGGGCGCCGGAGATTATTGGGGGGGCGGAGCCCCCCCAAACGAATTTTTGAGGGGGCTCGGGCCCCCTCAAGCCCCATGGAGTCGGCGCCTATGGTGGTATCATGGTGCTTTCGATGTATGACATGAATTCTACCATTGGTGAGGGGTGTCCTAATTGCCCCTCTCACCCCTATTTCCCTTAGCAATGCGCCATGCCTCATTTTCTTTAGTACACCTATTCCCCCCTCACACAAACTTTGTTCCTCAAGGCTACTGACTCCGAGGACCATAAAACAGGCTGCGATTCTATGCATCACTGACAGGAGTTGGAAGCAATGAAACAGAACCAACCTTAGCTGTGTTTGCCTGTGTGTGCTTGCACAAGCATTCAAAAATGGTTCTCAAAGAGGCTGCCTTCTACCTATGCTATTCACACCTGCAATCAATGTACAGGTGGCACCAGGGTACCCCCCCAGATACAACAACAGTTAATTCATAAGCGCATTTATACAAACCGTGTGAAGTTCCAGTGGCTGCATCTCAGAAGAGATACTGTGGAACTGGAAAAGATGCAGAAAGGGGTCGCCAAACCGAACGAGTGTCTGGGGGGAAAGAGTTATAATATTTGGGCCTTTTTAGCCCAAAATTAATGGAGGATAAGGTGGTCTTATAGTCACAATGGATATAGCCTCCAGTACCTTTGTTGGTGGGTACTATTATTCTGAATAGTAGTTACTAGGGAGAATATGCAGAAGAGTGCTAAGGTGTTCTGTCCTTGTCAGCTTCCCATAAGCAACTGCTCAGCCATTGTGGGAACAAAACCCTGTTGGTGTGATCTAGCCTCTTATTTCTCATATCTTGTTTTGCATACGTTCTTCTATACATAATTCATTCTGCTTCTATTACAGTCATACCTTGGTTTTTGACAGTTTAATCCATTTTGGGAGTCCGTTCGACTCCTGGAACTGTTCAAAAACCAAGGCACGGCTTCCAATTGGCTGCAAGAGCACCCTGCAGCCAATCAGAAGCCACGTCAGATGTTTGGCTTCCGAAAATCATTCAAAAACTGGAACAATCACTTCATTCAGGAGATAAAACGTTCGAGTTCAAAGGCATCCGGCTTCCGAGATTCCACTGTAGTTACTAGAAATGCTAATATGCTATACAAAGTCCCATCCCCTAACTA